AGAAAAAAATTTGTCTTCAGGCTGTGGTATTTTGATGACTTTGCTCATCTCAGGGTTCTGGTGATAAAATCCTCCATGCAGGGAATATTTTTGTTGTCTCAATGGCTGCAAAGGTTTTCTCTCCTCTGCAATATAATCTGTATTTATTTATTTTGAGCTTTTGATTCCCAGCATTCGAATGCTGCTATAGCAGTACATTAATGTACTTTTGTTCCCTTGATATTAAAAGTAAATAAAAATGGAAACAGCTTGCCAAGAACAGATCCGTTTATATGCTCAAGAACACCTGCACAGCTATTCTGGAAACATACTGGGATGTCCATTCAGCCTTTCCTGTTTGTGTAACTTCAGGTAGATTATGTCTACCTAATGCTGAAAAACCTCATTTTCCATACCACTATGTTCAAGCTAAAAAACATCTCATTTTTGTTACTTTTGTTATTTGAACAGCTAACATGGATCAATTAATTCATGTGAAGTTCATATTCATATGCCCTTTCTTCAGTAATTTTCAGAGAAAAAATGAAGCCATCCCTATGTACTCTTCTGTGTGCCCTAATCTTCAGAAAAAGGGGATAATTTTTTCAGTATGAGCTGCACAACGAAAAAACCCTATTTGCAGAACCCTAAGGCCAAGCTACAGCTAGGCTATAGGAAAAAATGAAGCATAGGTTTGTATTCATACACATACACAGAGAGATAATGAGAAGAAGATTTAGCCCTCACCAAAGGCAGATCACAGCAGTGAAACATGGCACAGATCACCTGCTCCAAGAGCCACAAGCTCAGGATGAAGGGCTCACCTGTGGGAGCTCAGAAACTGCTCTGTGTCCATCTCATCCCACTGGCTGCACAGATCACTCACAGAAAATCAGGAAACCTCATCTGTGCTTGTTCACAGAGCACAGCTCTGTAGAGCTCTGAAGAAGCAGTTTAAAAATTTACACTTCAAGAACAGTTGAGAATAAAGATCCCTTGTCTCTGTCTGCCTTGCTCCTGCCTCCATTGATGCACAAGCCATTGGCCACCCATGTTTGTTTTCTGTCCCTGGAAAGCTGACATCTGGCAAACACATGGGATGTGGAGGGGGCACAGCTTGGATGGAGAGACGTGCACTGTATGCCTGAGTGATGGGAACACAGGCAAGGAGGATAAGAGAACGAAAAGTTCATAGCACATGTGGCCAAAATGCTCTCATGCAGATTAACACATTTGATTGAAGTATAAGAACTGAGAATTTCCTCTATGTTCAAGCAACTCTATCAAAATCTCCAGTTTACAATTCCTGATGGCATAGCAAAAATAAGTGTGTGACAGCTGGATCTAGAAATTCTGCAGCAAATCACTATTTTATATACCAGGACCTAACCTACTTTACATGGTAAGTGTTTTAGACAATGACCAAATGCTTGAAATAGCTGCCTGGGTGAATCACAGTGTACAAAAGTGATTCAGAGATGATGAGTCTCTAAATTTGGCTGTGCCAGAAGTTCATTGTTGCACTCTGTGCCCGCCCACTCGTAGATTCTCCCAGCCCTGCTACAGATAAATCCAGCTTCTAGTGGCTTGCACTTAATGCTTTCTGCCCCAGCTTCTCATTTACTTCATGCTGGAGTACCTTTCTTTAGAAAGCACTTCTTACAGAAATAAGTGTACTACACTTCTTTCCATGTCTATGTTAGAAGTCTCTGAGGAAAAAGCAAGTTAACTCCCCGAAATCTTCATCTCTAATAAGCTCAGAGATTTGATATAATTTAGGAGCTAAAACATCAGAGGACTTAATCCTTAAAAAGCACATTCCATTTTCTCTAAGCTCTTTATACACATCCTGGGGCAACTAAGTTGGATCAAACTCTAGCAGTAAACCCTAGATTTCACTTTAATCAGTGTGCTTACTGTGGGATCAGAGCAGGATGAAGTTTACCCTCTCTGGTACTCTCACCAATTCCATCTCTCCATCCTGACTGCTACCACAAGAGATGGAGAAAGACCTATCGTTCAAATATTAACATCACAAGCTGAACACTTTGAAGTTGAACCTTTCCCTTACAGAAGAGTGACAATTGTTACCAGTCAGCAATTTGCTTTAAGGAACAAAGACCTGAGCAGTTATTCTGCTAGTCCTGCTGCTAGAGACATGAAGAAGTGGAGAACAGCAAGGCTGCAAAGCTCCTCTTCACACACAGTGATGACCGTACACCGTGAGAGACCAGTGACCCACGTGTGAGAAAGATTAAAGTCTCAAGTGTCAGCAAAGCCCACCCTGAAGGGTAGGTCCTAATGTTTTAAACTATTATTTAAACTATTAAATATGGTAAACCATCTCATGGGTTTACATTAGTGCTCACAGATTGTCATTCCAATTCAGGCTCTGAAAATGCAATGCTTTCGTGCCCTGCCTACACTACAGACACTGCAGCAAGGAAGTAGCTTCTAATAAATGTATTCTACTCCCTTCCTTCTTTCTCTGCGCCTCTGTCTCAACAGACTGCAGAAACAAAGTGGTACAGAGTCACTGGTAGTTGAGCAACTCCTCTCACAGCTAAGCAAAATTCTGGGAAATAGGAGAACTCTGGCTTGAGGCCAGCAGACCAGTTCCTGAGTCTGTTATATATGACTGAACATCTCCCTTGCCAACCTCAGGCACTCAGACATTCAACAGCCATAAAACAGAAGCAAGTGGAGCAGGCAAGTACCAAGGCATGCACAGGACCCAGAACATAAGCAGTTTTTTCAAGAAATCCCAGTTTTCTCCACTGTCTAAGCAGCACAGCATCACCCCAGGCCAAGAGGCTCCTCGCTGGCCAGGCTCTCAGCTTTGCTGCTTCTGCAGCTGCACTGATGCCAACACAGGCTGTAATCATGCTGACTGAAATCCTACTTTTGAACTGCTGCCACACTCTATTAAATAGCTTACGATTAATATGACTTTATCAGAGAGCTGATCTTACATTTGATCCTTGTGCAAAATAATCCTGAGGGGCATTGCTTTAACACAGCCAAAACAGCTCTTGTGAAGTGAAGCTTCATCCAGAAAACTCACTTTCCAGCAGCAATAAATTGCCAGGAGAAAAGATGATCCTGCATTTAACAGCCTTTGCATCATGCCAGGATATCAAGAGCTTCTCCTCCTGTTAGTTGTTAGTTTCTTGTTAGTAGGAACAGCTCTGTGCAAACAGCTGCAGAAGGAAGGAATTGTGTGGGGTGAATTCTGAACTTCTACCCATCCCTTCCTCATTTTCCTCTCCCCCTAGCCCTGAAATACAATAAAATGCAGCCACCACCCTGTAAGTGGGATGCACTTACACAGATTTGACCCATATGTCAAATAGGAAGATAATTACACACAGAAGAGAGGAAGGGGAAAAAAAAAAGAGACAAAGTGCCAAATATTTCACTGAAGAAAATAAAAGCTTCTCTTTCCATTTCTATTTAAGGTTTTGACCTAGCTTCTTCAGCACTGCTGAGCAAGACTATCTGCTTTATTATATCTTACATTAAGATACAGAAAGAATTTGTGTTGGAAAGCCATTTAAGTGGCACTTCCACCATCTAGGTACAACAAAATCCTGGCAGTCATAAATTACTTATTTATTCTTCCAACTCTACAGTTAACTCTACAGTTAACTCTACTAGTGTAAATCTCACCTCTAAGAACTACCAATATCAATTCTACAAATGCATTTTGTGAAAGCTCTCCCCTCCAATTTGTAGTATGCTGTGGAGTCCAAAACAATCCCCAAAAAAGTAATAGTCAAGCAATTTAATTGACACCTCAGTCATAGGGGCTGCTGAGACAGGAATTGTCTTCCCCTCCACTCTCAAAAATAGCAGAGCAGCTTATTCTGCCATACAAGAAAGTGAGAATTTACAGAGGCAAATTCAAAAAAATACTTACTCATTCCAGAACTGAATCCACTGAAGACCACATCAGAAATAAATCAGATAAAACTGAAGTTCTTCAAAAAGCTCATTGCAGTAGCTGAAGAGAAAAATCTAAACCAGTTCTTTCAAGCAGAGAAACAAAAGCAAAACCGGTTACACACGCGTGGGAGGAAAGAAGTACAAGGGTCCTTACTAGATTTTCTGTCTCTTTAATATTTCTATCTGCTGCAAAAGAGAAGCTGCTGTGGAAGCCCTGCACTGAATTAGCATTTAGTCCATGAATACAGCATTTGTGGGGGAAAAGTCATTATAAAGAAACAGGCACAATCAAATAGGTTTCATTATTATTGCCTCACTGAAAAAACCCTATTCTTTTGGGGCTAGTCAGTCTTACTCCTACCCACTCACAGTAACCATGATAGAGTAATCCTCTGGGAACAAGAAAATGAACTGACAAATAGATATTGGAATTACTTGTTGAACAGTGATGTTAAAGAAGATTAAATGTGTAAGACACAACCAAAAGCACTGAACATTTCTTAGGAGTACAGCTGGAATAGCTCACAAATATGAAATAAAACCAAACTATATTCAGCGTTTTTAAGCAAAAGGCGACTTCAGAAATCTATTGCCTATACACTGTTCTCTTACCCACACCACAGTCTCTCCAAGCACTTAACAGTGAAAAGCGAAGCCTGATGAAAGCAGAACAAACAAAATACTTTACAAATGCCTCATCTGTTGCAGAGCACCCTTGTGTCCCTGTACTCCCGAGGTTTCTCATACACTGCTGGAATTGAGGCTGCTGCTGGATCTTCTACGCCCCAAAACAAACTTTGCTAAAGAGACACAAGAGTCTAAGTGCTTTTAAAAGCAATGAAATAAAGAGAGAATCTTCTAATAGTGGCACTTCTGTTTAGTCTATGTGATTTCATATCCTCACATTCCAACAGCAGGGCAAAGCTTTCAGGACTAATGCAGGTGAACTGTTCAGAAAAAAATTCTTTTCCTGGCCTGTGTGAGTTCCCAAGAAGTTACTGAGAACACTTCCATACCTGCTGCTGTCCACTTGAAAGGCAGCTACCACCCTTTGCAAATACTTTATTGAAAGAAGAAATAAGAGAACATTAGTAACTCAAACATGGCAATCACATTTTCCCTTCCAACAAATGTGCAGCACAGTAAACAGAGCGTTAATTGACACTACGTGACAGAGTGAACTAAGAGTTGCAAACACAAAAATTAAGCAGCAATTAAAGCCCTCAGGGTTTTCCTTCAGGCAAAATACACACCAAAAAGATAAATTTTGCTGAGAATTACAGAATACATAACTAAAATAGAAGTTATAGGGGGGAGGAAAAATTCTGCAGAAGTCCAGAAACTCCCCTGTGCTACAGGATTGTATTTCTGTGATTTTTTCCAAGAAATCTCCTCAAAACAAACTGCCTGTTAACTGATCTAATGGTAAAAAACATTATTCTGTTCTAGGTTAGCCTAAGAAACCACAGACAAATGCTCAAGAAAAGATGACTAACAAAGGCTGGTTTCATTCTGAAGACTTGAAGACTTTCTTATCTGTAAGGTTTGTCTAAGCACAGGCAGTAGAGAGAGAGACACTGAGACAGCTGTTCCATACCAGGAAACAAAGCTGAGGGATAGCAACCCCCAAATATTAGCCTAAAAAGCAAAAAAGTTGACAGTGTAAAGAGAAATTAAAAGAAAGCAAAAAATTTCCTGTCAAAAGCCATTCCTTTTCAAACTAGCCCATTTTAATGTATTATTGGGGTTAACTCACTTTGATGTATTTGCTTCAGCATAACTTTAAATATGGCTAAAACTCATTCCTCAAAACTGCAGAACAGGGACATATGCAGATGTGGTTATTTTCAGTGAAAGACAAATCTTTGAAACTCTCTCTTAATCCTGTCAGCTGCAAATAAAGTTTCTGTTCAGAAAACGTGATATAAACCTTCTTCAAAGATACACAGTTAAAAAATGAAGTACTGTTTAGATCATCAAACAGCCTCCATATAAAAACAAACCCAGGAACCATCACTCCTGCTGGGGTTGTTCTGAAAGTGTAATGCAAGGCTTGGTACATAGGAACTCACTGAAATAACTCCAGTAGCAAACAACCCAAAATCTGACATGCCCATCTCCCATCTACAGATCATGACAAAATATTTGTCAGTAAATCAGTATTTTAAGAACAGTCACAAATGCAAAGAAACTACCTGATACATCAAGTAACAGCTGCTCCATTAATTTAAAATTACCCTTTATTTTTCTCAAGGTTTTCCAACATGTCGTGCATTTTGGCACAGCAGACTTTGAGACAGTCAGCTTCAAGTTTCTTTAAATTACAAACAGTAGATACAGTAGGAATATTTTAAACCAATTTTTTCAAAATAAATGTCAAGTTAAGACCCTTAGCTTTAAAAGAGACTGCCACCATTTCATTTTCCTGATACAAAATTCAAGTAATTTTAAGAGTAGAAAACTGTCCCTATAAAACATCCTATTAAAATTTACCAGCGTTCTGAAAATAAGCATCAAATTTCCAGTATCCATTGGGTGCAACTACACATTTAGAAAAATAACTCACTTTAAACAAAGGTCACTTGCTGAAGAAAAGTAAGCTTTCAATAGGATAAGTTCTCAGAACAAATGATAAAACATTTTCTCCTTAGATAAAGGATTTCATCCTTGTTCCATCTCTGCAATTAATTTATTTTTTTCTTCTAAGGGTGTACATTTCAGTATTGACAATGAATACAGAGACGTTTTCCCTTCGGTATAAACCAGCATATGGAATTATTGCTTACCAGAAACAACTGTAAACAAGATTAATTTGATTTTGTTTTTATGCTGTGATTTTCCTTTCTTTGGTTGGCACCAAATATACAGACAACCAAACTTCAGCTGTGTCACTTAACTGACTGAAAACCACGATCAATTTTTCCGATGATTTTGTATTTAGCATTCCTTGGGTTTGGGGTTTTTTCAACGAAGAAATGGGTTCACTGTGCTTTTCCATTTTCTCTCCTTACCCACTCTTTAGGACAGCAGAATGGAAAAACAAGTAGGACATGTTTACTTTGGGACTCAAGGCTCAGAGCAGATATCAAGAAATCTCCAACAATATTAGAACATTTTCTGTTTTCCTCCTTTTAGCCCAAAGTACCTCTGTTGTGTAGTAACAGTAACTTAGTTTCTTTTATCACCATCTTCCAGAAGAGATCTATAAATAAATGTTTATGTAAAGAACACTGCTGTTGAAGAGGACAAAGAAAAATAAAATTAAGGATCAATAAATGATACTGCAATGTATCTTGTGCCATTCAAGATTGGAAGTCCTTCGTGTAAATGTGTAAGTCTTCCTGGGTGCATGAAGCTCCATCCTTTCCTGGGGGACTCAATGGAGCAGTTGTACCTAAGGAATTTACATCCACCTCCCTGTAGTAAAAACACAAACACAATAAACCCCCAACATTTATCTTGTGCTTTAATAAATTCCTTTTTATATATCCATCGCTTCAAATAATTTGCTATTATTAATAGGTTGGGTTTTTTCTTTTACCTTCCATTAGCAATGTTGTTTACATGGCACCATCTTTAGAGCATTAATTAACAAACAAGCATTTGCAATCAGATTTCCCCTTGTCTCGCTTTAGCATTCACTGCATAACAACTCATTCAAGCAACAAATCTGACAAACAGATCCTCAATAACTTCACTATAGATTCTACCAGAGAGAAGCAAATTGTGTTCACAGGCCTTGTTTCAGGACTGCACCCTTCTCAGGGCCTCATTTAAACAATTCTTAAATGAATTAATCTGGCTGCTGCTTTTACTCTGAAGATGTGCTTTTTAAAACAGTACATGTGCCAAGCATATTTATTGGTGTTAAGTACTATGAATGATAAAGGCTTATAAACACAACAGGTTAAATTTCTCTGTAAGTAAAAGCTGGATATTATTGCCACTGCTCTGTCTAGCTCCACACTCTGGGGACTGTTTTATTTGAATCAATATCAGACCAGAAAATAATCTAGCTCAGAAAAAACGTGAACAGACACAATAGTTAAAAATTTTAATTCTGTGACTGATCTAAAAAAGAGCCATTAAGAAAAATTCTACAGAAAAGAAGTCACTTGAGGCAACTTGGCACTATTTAAACTCTTTTGAAAAACTGGTTTTCACTGTACAGAAATGAAGCATTTCAGAAATGTTAAAAATGAAATTACAAACATCTCCTAAGTTTTTCTTCAAACCCCTTCTCTCCCACCATCTGAAACCAGTTTGATCAATTCAGTCTGACTGCATCAACAGTTCTGGATCCTGGAGTTGAGCAAATACAGCGCTTGTCAAAAAACCACAAGGCAGAATGTATCTCAATTTGTGATGTGCATCTATTCCTTCTCAGCTGGGTCTCTATGCATTTGGGCTCTAATATTAGATACTCAAAGAACATTTTTTAAGGCAGTAACTCACCTGGAAGTCCTCTCCTACTTTGTTGAGGGCGATGTTGATGGTGAACGTGGAGGAGTCGTGGTGAGGTCTGAGCGACCGCTGTCTGTCAGGGCTGTATTTCACAACAAAGTTCAGCAGAGCATAGCCCTGCAACAAAACACAGGCAGACCTCAAGCTGTGAGCTGCCAAGTCACACACAGGATTCCTGGGAGTTTGTTTAAAGCTGAGTCAAAATAAAACATCAACAACATCCACCTATAACTACTGCTATGCCATATATAAACTCTCAACCAAACCAAAGAGGTGTATTCGTTAAAATACTTAAATTTAGTCACACCATGGAGTAATTTCTGCGAAAGCTTTTAACCCATACCTTGGTATAGTAGCCAGCAAAGACTTTTAGTGTGACTGGGGCAATGAACTCTCGTATGAAATGCAGCCATTCATTATCCAATCCTATTTGCTTCATGTGAATGTCATCGGTTGGGACGTTTTCATAACCTCCAGAAATGCGGCTGTCCTAGAAAACACCACAAATAGCTTGGAAACAGGAACATGGGATGTTTCTGACATTTCAACAAATATTTATTTGAAATCTGCAGAATCACAGAACTGCAACAAAGCAACGTTTCAGGGGCTGTCTGTACAGCAAATTCCACAGCTAACTGCCAAGGAAAAAAGTGTGCTGAGAGCAAAATCTCAAATTTTTTTATAGGATAAGCCAATATTCAGATGTGTCACCTGTAAATAAAAGGGTTTCTTGGGATAATAAGTTTTATTTGTTGAGCTGTAGATGCAACTGAAATTCTATCAGATCAAGAGACTTCAGGCCTCAACTTGACAGGGTAATATATGATGAAATAATTTGAAGATAAAAGTATGTTAAAATTCTTTCCAGAGGCTCCTACCTACATAACAATTATGACTATAGTTGCTCATGGTACCACATTTGTGAATAAGAGAAGCATTCCTCTGATTTTAGTGGTAGTTAATAAATACCTTGAATTCTCTGAGAATGTTGACACAATATCTCATAATATTTTCAGGTAACTCCTTAGGGGGACAAGTCCGACAAATCAGTACTTAAGAGGTAAATGAGTAAAACTTGTCTGAACAGCTATCAACAGCTACCCAAATTCAGCCTTGGGTAACTGTCAGGTGCCTGCTCCAGAGCTGCACCACTGTTGGTGTCTAATGTGCTGATTCCAAGTCTGCACAGGGTTTAAGTGGCACAGCTTGGGCAGCAGAGGAGCTGCAGGGGTGGCCTTTGTGAGAAGCTGCTGGAAACTTCCCCTGTGGAGCCAATGCCATCCACACCTGCCACTGCCAAGGCTGAGCCCAGCAGTGACAGAGACAGCACCTCTGCGGTGGCAGTGCCTTTCAGAAAGGGGATAAGTGGGGGAAGGTGTTTTTAAAATGTTGTTTCATTGCTCATTGTATTACCAATTGAACCAGAGTACAAAGTAAACTAATTTCCTCAGACTGAGTCTGTTTTGCCCTGTGTTGGCCATTGAATGACCTCTCCCTGTCCTTATCTCTCTAGTAAAATTTTTATTACTTTCTCTCTCCTGTCCAGCTGAGGGCAGTGACAGAGTGACTTTGGTGCGTGCCTGGCATCCAGCCAGGGTCAGCACACCACAACATTAATTGAAGAATGCCTCTAAATCTACTGGAGAAGCAGCTACATGGTAGACTAAACTAAGCACTTCTTACCACAAAGCAGATGTTTCAGACCATTGGCAGTTGTTGGGATGTTTGTTTGTTGCAGGACACTGTGACTTACTGTTGCAAAAGTAGTTAAGATCACTCATTAAGATTACGTTTATATAGGCTGACACTTACTTGGTGTTTTCCACCAGACCATTGCCCAAAATGTTCCATTTCTTCTACTAGTTCATCACAGGCAGTGTCAGAAAATATGGGAAACCAAAACACATCTGGACAGGGCTACAAGAAAACCCCAAATAATCAGAAACTTGATTCTCAAGCACAGTCTCACAAAAGCAAAAACTTTGGCTTCATTCTAAGCCCTGACCCAGCACTAAGAGCGTGTCAGTGCACCCACACCTTCTGTGCCTTATGGCTCTAAATAACAACCCTGGTCCTCCACATTACAGGTTAATATGGGAGAACAGCTTAAAACAGAATATCGCTTTACACAGAGAAAACTTATCCCAGCGTTTTAGAGAGGCAATGTTCATTAAATCACTGTCCCTAATTGTCACAACTGATCATCCAACACAAGTGCTCTGTCCAGATCAGTTGCATAAAGCAAGCAGCCAATATCAAATGGCAGAAATTCAGTTCTAATCCAAAACATTAAAAAACTGATTGGTCACAGACCAAAACAGTATTTGCATGGAAGTATTTACTGCATGCCAATTTATTATCACTCACTCAAATTTCTAAAAAACTACTTTTACTCACCTGTTCTACTATGTTATCAGTGAAGATCTTTGAGTAGTTTGGATTTATGTAAGTTTCCTTCCAATCCTAAAAAAAATATTATTTAAAAACATTATAGCAGAAGAACGATATTTGTAAGTGATAAAAAATAATTTCTATTCTATTCATTTGCTCTAATGAAAGCACCTGAAAAAATTCAAATTTTTGTTTTATTCTCATAAACTCATTCCCATCATGTCAAAAATCATGAAACCTGTTACCTCAGGGCCACATCTCCAATTTCATGCTCTGGTCACCAGCTGGCTTACTGATATGATATATTGTCATTTGCGGGGATGGGTAAGAACACCTTTTAGCACATGATCAATATTTAGCACACAGTAAACAAAAGTTCTCCACATAAAGCCTTTAAATTTCAAGCCCTTTATAATATATAAATTTATATATATTTTTAAATGAAATAACTTTTTAGCAATCATTAGATGCATACCACAGGATTCTCAAAGATCTGCCAGAGGTCATTGTTGTAGTGGGAAGTATTGTAGTTGGCTGTAGAAAGAAGTCTTCCAAATTCATGTCTGTTGGTAATGTACATGAAAACACCCTATACCAATTAGAGAAAGCATCATTAGCAAAACTGTCCATCTTAGCAAAGCTTTAAAAAGGTTTTCATGATTGTGCTTTTATAAAATATAACCACATATTTGCACACACATATTGTAAAAGTGCTGTTAATTTTCAGCATCCTAATTTTCAAATGGTTGACTGTAATCACCAACTACTCTTCATAACTTCTTGTTTACAAACATTTACTTCATTTATTTTCCAAACACATCAAACCAAAACATATATTGTTGAGAATATATGCAGAGTTATAGAAAGGAAAAAGCAGAGGAGTGATTGGTCGATTTGCTTTCCAGAAAACTTAAGCAGAACACACTGAAAGAATCTGATCTCAAACTGAAAATGCTCACAACACAAGAAAATCAACATCTAGGGTTTAGTTTCAAATTAAAATCTGAAAGAATAAGCTAACAATCAAAGGGTTCATGAAAGTCAGAACAAGAAACTTATTTCAGAGTATTCACTACATGATCCGTCTGGCGAATTGGCCTGAAATAAAAAGATATTGGCAAATACAGCACACAAGAATATTCAGATCAGCATCCAAAACAGCTGAGCACTCTGAAGTCTGTTCATGTAATTATATGGAAGATATCAAGTAAGATACAGCTGTATTATCAAGCTATTAACAGAAGGTATTAACAGAACTCTCTTGATTAGAAGTAGTAGCAGAAAATAGTATTTTTAAAAGAAACTTAGGTTCTATGAAAAATAGTATTTTGAAAAGAAACTTAGGTTCTAAGTTTCTAAAAGAAACTTAGATTCTAGACTCTTTTAGTTTAAGGTTTTTCAGACTAAAACTTTTTTTCTGAAATATTTGTGACTTTTGGATTTGCAGCAGATGAAGGCATTACCATTTGGGTACTTTGGTACTTCTATGTTTTTGTCTGAAAAAGAGTTAAACTGTTAGAAAGATAACGATTATGTTAAACATGCCCAGTTCTGGGCACTTATCAAATCATAAAATAGCTGCAGCAGGGAGAATAAGGAGGGCCTGGGTGAAAAAAACCAGCTTAAAGTGACAATGTGGTCACAGAGGGGGCCTGGCAGACCTACAAGTGATCTGAGCTTCACTCCCTCCTAGGACTGCTCCACCCATTTTAGCTACAGAAGCAGTGTCAGCACACCTTGACCTCAGAACCACCAAGGAACCCCCCTGAGGAAACCAAGAGCCTCTCTGAGATGCTTTCAGCTGGCATGAAAAACCTGTCCTGGCAAAAACCTGAACCTCAGCAGACTGGAGAGAAAGCCAGAGCAGCGTTTCATCAGAGGAAGTGGACAGAGGAGAAGTATCTTCCTGTGGTAGAGTGATACTGCATGTAATAATAACTAATGAATAAAAAACAAATAAAGCAACACCTTTGGGGCTCTGAGCATATGGAATGTTTCCGAAGAAGGGGAGTCTTTTTCCCTTTGTAAAGTCTAAAATGAAGGAGAATCATCACATCAGTTTTCCGACACAATCTCTTTCCCTTTTCCCAGCTAGTTTTAGGTTTCCACAGGTACATCAGAGAAATAGCAGCCTCTGACCAAAGCTGATATGCCTTCACAGACAACATGCATCTCCAAGCAAAGCTCTTCATACACATGTCAAAGCTGTTTCCACCAGCCCCTTCTTATCTGCTGCAGTACAAAACCAAGCACGTTCCAAACCCTCCTACAGCCCAGACTGACAGAGGAAAAGAGGAAGCAATTTTCTCATGAGCCAGTCAGATTAGGTTAATGAGCACATGGAAAGCACAGGTTTTGCAGGAACTGATGCTGAGGAGGTTTGGATACAACAGGACTGGATGGGGATGTTCTGAAGAATCAGCACAAACAGAGGAGATCATGCCTTGTTATGAGGGGATAAAAAAATTAATACTTGCCAACTTTTCTTGTTCAATTCAGCAAAAATATTTTTCAATGCTACAGTGTCTGGAAATAGGTCTGGTTTAGGTCTTATTTGTCTCTGTGCTGAAACTAGTGTAAATATCAGTAGAAATATGGATTTACAGATTCATAACTTTACAGTACAAATAAGTTCTTTCATTTCTCCCAGGTTAACACAAGTAGCATTTATCTGATACAGTTTTAATCTATCTAGAAAAATTAATGAGTATTTCCTGCTCTCTAAGAAAATTCCTACAATTTCTTAAATCACCTAGGTTTTTATTTATCACTGTCCATTATTAGTTTCAATATATATCTACCTATAAAAAATGGCAAAATATTCCAACTTAGTCTGCTGGAAGTTTCACACTGTATAAAAATGTGCACAATAGAGATGATCCAAGTGCACTGGTAAATTTTAAGTCACATACAGCACAGCAGTTGAGCTCTCTTTCCTCTACTGAGGCTGTGCCAAGCAGAAAGATATTTTAACTTCAACAGAAATTTTCAGGGAATTTAACTAGAAAACACCATGCAGTCATTGCATCAGTGCATTGGCCTTGAAAAAACCTCTGTTCTCAACAATTTCAAAAATACACCTGAAGGGTTTTATCACACAAAAATTGGCCAGTACTTTGAATTAGAAGTAAAACATAATATCCAAGATCAATCAAGTGAAGCAGTCTATGAGTACAGCAGGACACAAAGAAATGTGTGTATTTGCAAGCAAGCTGTTTCAGATACACCTTACCATCTCCCTGGCATTCCTGCAGAGTGCCATATCAGGATCCAGCTTATCACGCATGAAATAGTTCTTTTCTTTCATCTCAGACCTCAGAGTCTGTCCCTTAATCAAGTATATATTAGCCATGTAAGGGATATTCCATACTCCTCTGTTGAAAAAAGAAAAACGAACACAAAAATAGTTTAATGCTATGAAAACTAATTTGTTGCCTATTCTATCAAATCAGCATCTCTGTATTTGCTGACAAGACTAAGCAAGTTGCAAGAAGAAATTGAAAGGTTCCCAAGACACTTGGAAAACTACATCTGGACATCTCAAAAGTAGGCGTAGGCAGTAATTCAATTTTCATGAAATACTGTTATAAAAATATTGCAAGGTCAAATTCTCTATGGAATTTTAACTACACATGTACTTCATGTTTCCATAGTTAAGGCCATCAGTCAAACTCTCTGTTAATATTATTTTACAATACCAGATGGAGAAAGTAACTCCAAACCAGATTTTTAAATGAGTTTAAAGACTTCACTGAGACTCCACACAGCTGGTCTGACCTCCTCACACAAACACCCACAGACCACAGTAGGCCATGTGGGTTGAGCCAATTTCAACACAAAAGCATTGCTTTCAAAATGCTCCCGCTGCAGATTTCCCCCCTCTCAGTGCCACAAGCACCTCTTTTAGAACAGTAGGACTGAAAACAAGCCAGCCCTATTCAAGCAGTCTGTTTCAGACCCTTTTGTTCTTCCAGGGCAAAGAAAAGCATCACCATATGGAACAGTGAGGCTTAGAACAACTGAACATCACATTAATTCAGGGGAGGGATAAACCCAAAAGTTTATCCTTGACAGGAGTATTGCTGAAGAGCTCCTTAAGATACACATGACATCATATACAGGACAAAACAAACAAAAAAGTTATAGCTGTTCCATTGATTAAGCATTTGCCCCAAGGAGATGACAAAGTCATTTAATGAATACAACAACCATTCCTTTTGCCTGAGGTTGCAGGGATGTAGAGTTTTGGGTTTGCTTTTTGTTTATCTTGCCTTTTTCTGTACTGTGCATTGGTGAGCAACCAGACACCATCAGGCAGGTACCAGTAATGGCTGTCCAGACCTGACACCAGCTCTTCACATTAAACACTTGGCTTTTTTTTCAAGCTGTGAGTGGGAGTAAACAAGTGTATTTCTATGAAACAGAAAACACAAAAAAATATAGCTAACCTCATCTCTCCAGCAGTAATACCATACTCGTATATCTTCATGCAATATGTTGCTAATAACCACTGGATGCCCTGACTTTAAGAATTAGTTTGCAGTTACTTACACTCTGTTCCCTTGGACAATGTCCACATAATCTTCTGATCGAGCATAATAACCATCAGGGCTCAGAGCACCCCAGAAATTGGACCAAAGCTTCCCATGGCGAGTTACTAGTGGAGCAATTATCTTCCTATGAAGTGACAGATTGAATAAGAAAATATGAAAATGTGAAACTGAAATTCACATCAGGAATTGCTGTTTGACAGGAACAAAATGCTTTGTGAATTGATGGCCCCCAAGCCCATTATGAACTATGGCAATGAAATATCACAAGTAAACAAAGAGAATTTAACGCTGCAAAAATAAACAGGATCATATTTTCTCTGGACAGACCCCAGAGAATCCTTTCAATTTAGAGCAAATTCTACAAAATAAGAGATTTACTCTACCTGTTCTGTTCTATCAGTATTCTTAAAGTTTTTGGGTTTGTCAGGACGACATCTGCATCTATGCTTAAGTAATATTCACACGTTTTATCCTGGCGACAAAGGTCCCTAAAGAGACAAAAAAGAATTATTAACTCGTGTTAATAATAGTGTCCACATGGACACATGTCCAGAAAAAAATCACAAACAAAACAAACACAAAGATTAAAAAAAAGCCCAAACTACAAATAAGTACTGAAGTTATTCATTGCATTCAAAGTCCTCTGCAGCACAGTATTGTAAAGAAAGGTGTCTTCAGACTACAGTAGTCTCATTAACTGGAAGACTAAAATACATGGATTAGATGCCTTATATTTTCCTTTTAATTAACTGAGTGGCCTCTAGCCTTTACCAAGTCCAGTAATGCCTTCTATTGAGTGCCCTAATAGAGAATGGGGCAGGGGGAACATGCCATTAATTTATATAGCTGGGTATCAGTACAATCACTTAGCAGTGAAGTATGACCTTATTTAGTAAGCTCCTCTAGCAACTGGCTGTAATGCTGTCTTTGGAAAAAGATTCCACAGATGCAATCTGAATGATAATTGAAACCTTATGGAGAGTGTAAGACAAAAACTTATAAACCTTTATAAGGAAACATATATTTAAAGACGTCTTCTTTGTCTTTTTGACCTACAAGAACAACAAAGTTGGTAAAGAGAAATATAAACCAATTGCAAAGGCAGTGAATTTATACTGGAGAAAGTAATTGAATGTCTCCATACACTATTTCTATCAGTTGTGAATTTGATCTCAGAAGAATAAACTGCACAAATTCCCATGCCTTCAAGAGAAAGACAAAGAAAACACATTCTATTGTAAATATGAAAAATACACAGACTATGTTTGTATGTTTCTGGCAGGGTGGACTTGCTAGGCCAAAACTTGGTATAGTGAATTCAGCTTTCCTATGCCATCAGAATAATAGGAGATTATAAGTAATCAAATATACTTTTAGAGAAGGTGGAACAATTTCCTCAAGTCAATACTACAGAAATAGCTTCCTCTCATGCAGGTGGCATTATTAAATTTGTCTATTTTCCCTATTTTAATTCCACCATAACAGCTTGAAACATTATCTTAATTCTTGTTTTAAAATATCTATAATCAGTGCTTTAGTTCAAGTTCCACTTGATTTGATACCTTTTATACTGCACTTGGCATTAGATGTAAAATTTTTTCCAAAAACCATTCAGCTCCTTTATCCTTATTCTAGTGAGGAAAATAGACCTGAGACCAGACTTGATCCCAGCCACAACACTTGCCAGCACTGCCCCAAAAGCAGGTAAACCCTCTGCTGCTAACAAAAACATGAAGAGAATTAATTTTAATTATAGAAATGTGATGAAGTGGAACAAATTTATATTTAGTTATAGGCAAATATACCTAGAAAATTAATTACATAATAGCAAAATGCATTGTCCTTTAACTTTTGCCTTTTTTTTCTGCCCCCATCCCTTTTAAATCCAGACCCAGAAAATTCTATTCCAACTGGTCCCTGTGCTTAGTGTTAGAAACCCTCCTGTGCCTCATTCACATAACAATCCAAACCACAAAATACTAAATTAAAACTTTTGGTCTAAGTCACACTCAGTCATTCAGTACTCAATTGAGAACTCTCTAAAAGCATTCCTGTCCTAAACAGTCAGGAAATTTCAAGGTTACTATTCGGACTTATTTTTTCCTCCTATTTGTTTTTCTACAGTGTTGAAGACTGGATCACCACATGGCAGAACTTATCCTTCACATCTGACATGATGGCTTGTATCTGAAAATGCTGCAAGAATTATGCTGCAAGCACGAAGTTTTGGCATTTGGTGATCCTTGGCACTTTAAGGTAACTAAAAAAAAATCTCTCCAAAACACTACAGGTTTCACATGGAGGGAAAGAAAGTGATAAAAGGTTCAGTCAGAATTAATAAAGCAAGCACACTCTCCAGAAATTAGTGCATCTTCTCTTCAGGCTTTCAGTGTTGCCCAGTAGCTTTGCCCAAGGAAATAAATGTAACCCTTTCTATCCTCATGGAATACTCTGGTTTAGAGTATTACACTCTTACAGTGCATGCTAACCTCTCCAGAGGTAGAAATCCCAGATTATATGTGAAACTATTTGTATGCATATCCAGGTCACTCCCAGGAACAGTGGAAATTGTTTTCTGGCAAAGCTCGTGTAAAATGTATAAAATGCTTCCTTATCTACATTCAAAGGCTAAACCCTTCAATCTACTTGCTTTCTACCCCACCTGCCCTGAAGTAAGACCAAATGTTGAAAAGCTGTGTCCTTGTACATCACTTAGAGCAATTTCAGTGCAGCAATTAGCAACAATTCAGAAGAAAGCCAAGAGTTTTGGTTGGCAGTGTGAAGCTCAGCAGAGCAGTTTAAAGTATTTTGCAATCAGAGTGATGTCTGACTGAGTTTACAAACCACAATCCATCTGGAACAGTGACCTCATCTGAAAATGGGAGAATGTCACAGCTCTTCCTTTCATCACACTTTCCACTGAGATAGTCCAAGGGTCTGCTTGGTTGTGACAGAGACAAGTTGTCCCCCCAATTCCTCTGCCATTGAGCCTCCTCTCTTTTTTTAGACATAGTTTGAACTTGATTAATTACAAGTTATCATTTTCAGACATCTCAGTTTGGAAATACAATTCTAAATATGGATTGCAAGCCCAGAGGGAGAACACTTAAATCATTTGACAGACCTCTGAAAGAGAAGGTGTTCCAGATACAAGTCTGCAGCCAAAACCCTGGGTGACATCTCCTGCCATTTAGGGTTACATTTTGCATCTCTCCAGACAGCTACAATGTGCACATTCCCATTTAAAAGCTGAGATAAATGACGTTTTTTATAAAGTTTTGGAAAATTCCTACCCTGTTCTGTTACTAATATTTTTGAGGGAGGAACAAAAAAGAACCAACTATCCCAAAAGAGAAATCCTGAAGGCTGTAAGTACCAGGAGAAATAATATTATGGAAAACATACTTTTTATAAATAAAAGCTCAGAAGTGAATATTTCCCAACTTCCCGTTATTACTTGAACACATTTAATTGCTTTTCATGTTTTCTGTAATAACAAATTCTGTAACAGCTGGCTGAAATCTCATCTGCAAGCAAGGCAGAAACAATGATGATTTTTCCTCCAAGAAATAAAGAACTAACTGTAAGAATTTATACCATATAGACAAAGGCCAAAAAAAAGAGAAAGATATGGAAATGCCACTCCAGTGTTTCAAGTGTAAAGATGAGAGGTTTCCAGCTCTTTGGGTGAGATTTAGTATTACTATAGATATTGATGACACTGAAGATTCTGCCTCATGTTGTCCATATAACAACAAAAAGGAAAAGGCAACTCCAGAAACTCCACCTCAGTTACACACAACATGCACAAAAAAAAGTTTTTCATGGGTGTACATCTGCTTTAGAGAGTATTGGAAACAGAGAAAGAGTGATTTATAAACATGTGAATGGGTGCTTAGACTACCACTGGCCATCTGCAGCATTTCCTAGAAAGGCGAGGGGAGAGCTGTGGACCTCAGCCAGGGATCAGCCTCCAGCACAACAAAGCTCCATTCACACCAACTTCCAAGAACACCACAGAGACTCAAGACCTTCATTCTTTCAGCTGAGCCTATGAACAGCCTATGCTCAACCTCTGAGCAGAAATGGCCTTTTGAAATTAACTCCTGTGCTCTGGCACTCAGGGAAGATCTGGCAGAAGAGTGAGTTCCAAGTGTGATCATAGAATGAATCCTGCTGCAGGGCCACAGCAAGGTGCTCCTGATCCTGGTGGGATCCTGGGCTGATAATTGAATTCCATCATCATGTGGCTGATGTGCTGGGAGAGCCACAAGCCACTGTGCAAGAGCCAGCTGTAGCACTGAAGGGACCCTGTGACAGGCAGGGCTGGCAGGGGACACAAACTCCAAGGCTCAACTTTGGGCACAGAATGCCAGGTTAAAAAGCTAAAGTTTCGGATAGTCTAGTAAGAACAAAAGAAAAAAGCAAGACCAAACATAAGATAAAGTCAGTTGCCTTTGTGAGAAACTTCTGCTTGAGCACTTCTGAAGGATATTCCTGCCTCTCTGAGCCACAGGAGGAAAGAGAATTCAGTCACCTGCACATCCAGGTCAAGCTTTAACCATATGCTTACTTAAATATAATGTCACTTAAGAAAAAAGAAAAAAGAGTAAGCACTAGGACAAAGAGCAATTGTTAAAAGCACATCCAATGCAAAAATGAAAAAAAAATCTGCAGTAAGGTAGCTGGAAAATAAAAAAAAAAAAAAATACTATGCCTTGTCTAGGCCATCATCACAAGAGAAGATGACAGACTATTGAAATAGCCCAAACCAGAGAGATTTTTTCACAATGATCAACAACTTTTTATATTAGACAGAAACCATAAAACACTTGACAATTCATGTCTTATATCTAGATCTTTTCTACCACAAAAACTCCCATTTTCACAAGTGAAGATGCAAACATTAAAGGTACAAAATAACACACATGGCAAGATGGAAAAATGTGAGTGTATGCATCAGTACAACACATTTATAAATTAGAACCTACATTCCCATGTTCCTGGCCTCTGCTTGACTCAGGTTTTCCTCAGGTCCAACAATTTTAATATTTCTGATAATGTTCTTGGCTTTTTCCCAGAATTTCTTGATGTGCTTTTCATGGTAAACCTCCTGTAATCATGTAAACATTTTTTATTGCAAATGCAAGGCAGCAATAGCTATGAATCATAAACACAGTGTCCAAGAACACACTGTATTCTGTCCTAAAGAAACAATGCCAAACAGTGTTTGAAGATATTCCAGTATATCTGTCATTAAAATGAACCTCCTCTGTCCAAAACTTTAGGAAAATAATCCCACACATCAGCAGTATTAATCAAATATGTACAACAGTGCAAAATTCACAAACCACCAATGCAGTATTTTTCAGAATATTTATGTTACAGTCTTTAAAACCCACCCTACAACTTCAGTGGCATGCAGGAGGTTTTTATGCTTCTCCAGAATCACTTTAGAGAGGGAGCTGTACCTGTACCAAATTGTACAGGCACAGCCATTGCTTCTTTAAAATGCAGTCCCACTGATTGTTTCTTTAATTCCTATTTACCCTCCTCCTTACCTTTCTATTTATCTCTATTTAAGAGCTATCAGCTGCACACAGTCCTTCCAAACCAGTGCCTTCATTGTAGCTTTTGCCTACTATGGCTGCCATTAGAATAATTGAAATATTGGGTAGGGGTTTTCCCCCTCTATAATAAAAAGCTGTTCAGTCTTTATATTCATTTCAAACACCACAAAACTTTTGGCTGAAGCTACAAAACCAACACAGCCTGCAATTCCCATGTGCCCATCACATTTATACTCTCAAAATCCCCTTACAAAACCACAATGAACACTTTAGAGATAAGCCCTACTTCTCTTACTGATCCCCTTTTTGCTATCATATCAACAGCAATGCATGCACACAGAAAAGGGGTACAACTAAATTTTACTCCCATTTCTCTTCCAGCCTCATTTTTTTTCCAAAATAATTGCACACATTTGACATCTCACTCATTAAAATCACAGAATTATTTGGGTTGGAAGGGATTTTAAATATCATCTCCTTCCAACCCCCCTGCCTGGCAGGGACAGCTTCCATTGGACCAGGCTGCCCAAAACAGCAACACTGACTGGAGTCACTGGGGAAGTATCAGCAATGCCAGATATTAGGCAATTAGCAGGGAGTGTTCAAAAACAACTTATCTGCAGTGCCAGTCAAAATACATCTGAACACACCAATCTTTCCATGGACCCAGCAGGAGTGCCAACAGAAACAAAAATATCAAAAATTTCACTGTGATATCAGCATGATGAAAGCAAGGTCCCATGTCAACTATCAGTTGTTAATAATTTGGTGACAATTGTTAGCAATTTGGTGTCACTGTTGCTCAGTCCTGAGCAATGGTCAGCAGTTGGCCCAGATGGTCACTGCAGGCCCCTTCCAGCTGGAACTGTTCTGTTCTTATTTTACTCTATTGTTTATATCAGTCAGTACTTCCTCCAGAAGCAGACACTTCAAAATACATTTTTTCATTAGTAAATTTAATCTAATAATCTTCTTTAAATAGACTTCAGTAAGTCCTGAAACAACTTCATTTAATTTTTCCAGCTCTGCATACTAAACTCTGAAGGATTATCTCTTCCTATGCATTTTAACTCTGTTCTTAAATCAAATCCATATACTCCACACTCTGATTCATTGCATAATTTCCAAAATTGAAGCTTTGTGCAATGATAAAGTCATACTTACATTATTATGAACGAAGATACTGAGTGCCTCCCGTGGGTAGTCCAGAGTCAACAGTCTGTCTAAAAATTTAGTTAGGAAAGGAGTGGGTTGTTCAATGAAAACACCAATTTTTACTCTTGGATATTCCTAAAAAAAATGATATTTTGATACAACCAATAAGACTTGCCTCTTTTCTAAGATTATTTATAGTAAAGAGCAACTAATGTCATTTAGTAAACTTAGTCCACACAGCTTTCAAACAATCCAAACCAGTGTGCTCAGAAGTGCTATGCACCCCATTTATTTCCACTGGCTTCACAAAATAAGCAAAGATAATAGATTTAATATTAGTATGAAACACACTGGAAGTAGAAAATAATGTAATATGGTTTTAAAATTCTTACTTTAAAAAACCCACTAAAACAGCAAAAGAATCATTTAAGGAAACTCGCCTGGAACAGAATGGCTTTTTTTTTTAAACAAGGTACAGACACAGATTACATTTACAGGAAAATATAGAGGAGAGCAGTTTTTTAAAAATAGTTAAAGAATAAATACCACCAAATATTTTACTCAGCTGTACCTTAAGCCAAAGTCTCCAATACCCTTCTATAAATGTATATGCACTATTTCCCCCCATCCATTTTAACTGGGCCCTGCATTCCTTCCCTACTCACTGATTTTAGAGAGATCTTTCATAAACTAACAGAGTATCCTTACATCCAAGAATACTGAACTTTCATGGCCCTTATCTTAAAGTGAATTCACATCTTTTGATGGTATTTGGCTGCTTTGTATGTGCTTGATAGAAACCATGAGATCATGACCACTAAAAGAAACACAGACAGCACTTTTTTTTACTCCTGAAATGTATTATTGCAGTATGCAAGACAAAAAAATTTAACTTTCAAAGGCCTCAACTCCTACACAAATACACTGACTAAAAATTATTTCCATCTCTAAACCAGACAATTACTATAAAAGTCTAATCCATTACAAGGCTCATAGAGAAACCTTATATGAGCATAAAAGGCCGCCAGCTAGCTCTTTAAACAGGCCAACACCCACTTGAGAAGTGTCTGGATAAAGCATCAACACATGCTGAGGTTTCACAGTGTCTACACGGGAACTCAGAAACACCCAGTGCTTGCCCTGACCCCTCCTGCTCACAGCTGCAAACCTCATATGGACTGCTGGGGAAGCACAGCCACACAGACACCCCAAAAACTGCAGAACAATCAGCAAAGCACTGCTGTGTCTCCACAAAGCACCTGTGCCCCTCTCTGGTGGCACTGCTGAGGCTGGCACAGGCACTGGTGCCTGCTGAGTTTGAGAGGGTCCCCAGGACCAGGTGAGAGATGAGAATCCATGTTCTCAGAAGGCTGATTTATTATTTTATGCTATTATATATTATATGACATAATATATAATATAATATATAACATAATATATTCCACATTATGTTATATATTGTATATTATATGTTATAATATAAAACATAATATACAATATATAACATAATATACAATATATATGTTTTATATTGTATTAATTATATTAAATTAATTATATTTGTTATATTATATCTATTACATTAATGCTATACTACAACTATACTAAAGAAAAAGGATACAGAGAGAAGGCTTAACAAGAATGAACAATAATAACTCATGACTGACTTAATGACTCCTCAGAGTCCAACACAGCTGATGGTGATTGGTTATTAAGTAAAAACAATTCACATGAAACCAATCAAACATGCACCTGTAGGTAAACAATCTCCAGCCACATTCCCAAGCAGCACAACAGGGAGAAGCAAATGAGATGATGTTGGTTTTGCTCTAAGGCTTCTCATCTTCCCAGAAGAAGAAATCCTGGCGAAGGGATTTTTCAGGAAATGTGACAGTGCCAGGTGCCACTGATGGCCAGGGACAAGGAAAGCTGCCCGGGCTAAGCTGGGCACACTGAGCTACAACTGCTGCAGCCTCTGTACTTTGTACATGTTCCTAACTCAGAGTCATTCTCCCCTTGTTCTCCAGGGGAAACAGAAAGAGGTTCAGGCTGGGTGTGCAAAGGCTATAGGGACAATGAGGAATTACTGACACTGCTTCATTACACTGAAATGTGAACTGCTTGGCTCTGAACATGAAATCTCAGTGTGACCAAAGCACAATGGTGTTCAAGAAATTAGGGGGAAAAATTCCTGTAAACTGCATCTCCTCAAAGCACAGAGGTCATCAATTCAGACCTTGGTTTGCCACAAAAAGTAGTCACTACATAATCTGAATCTAGGTCACAATGAGCATTTTAAGTATGTGAAATCAGAAGTTGCCTCTCAGCAAAACCTCTTTGGGAATACCCAGTTTGCACCCAGATGTTGCATTTTCTGATAGATTTTCTCATTTCAGTGAGGTCATTTATTTGACTTTAAAAGTTTACTTTTTAATAAACAGTAGTTGAGTGTAAGACAATTTTTGGAAGAAACACAGGACAATGTCTCAGTACAACTGCACAGAACAAAGTCCAGGATCTCTTGCCACAAGAGTTGCCAGTGAAACGAGAAGAGGAGTGAGATCATCCTTTTCAGCCACACTGGAAAGTCTCCACACCAGTAAGAAGCTTTAGAGTTTAAAAGCATTTCTAGGGAGGTTAAGTTGGGCAACAAACTTAATTTAGGTTTCAGAAAAAAAAAAAAAAACAAAAAAACCAAAAAAAAAACCCAAAAAAACCCCCCACCAAAATCCTTAAGAAAGTAGCAACAATTTGCACTTATTGAATCCAATTGCCCTCTTCAACTTATCTTCCATTATGCTGCTTCTACCTGAACAGGTGGTTAATTTGGGGGTGGCACAGGCTGCTGACATTACCAGAAGAGAGAAGTTACTGAGTTTTTCCACACCTCAGTCATGATTGCAGCCCAGAAGATCCTGTTTCTGTCAAAAGGACAAGGGCAGAGCAAAGACTTTGCATATGTACCTCTGAGCTCCTTTACAGGCAATCCCAAAAAAAAAGCAAAATCCTCAGAAGATATGAATGTATAAATGCAGACAGTTAAATAAAACAATATAGAGAAATTCATTAGAGGCACAGAAAAGAAACTGCTCTTTTCACTGAAAATGTCTTGTTAAGTAGCAACCAGACTGGCCTGAACAGAGAGCACGTTCAGAAAATGAAATCCTGCTGGTACTTAGAAATGCCTAAAGTAAACTCCTCCCCTGAGGCCAAGGAAAAGCCTTGTTATTTCTTCTGGCAGAGTGAGTGAGGCATGGAGTCCAAAGAATGCATTACAGTAAAGAAGACACATTCCAAGCAGATGTATAGAAACTATAGGAAGCTTTCCAGTAAATCATTGCATCCCCCTTACTGGCTTTCAGATTTAACTGCTCCGAAACCACATCTTAAACACCAACACTGTTGGAAAAAAATCTTTGTCATCTTTTCCTCAGGTAAAATTTATGATGGGAGTGCATACACTATCTAATTATAACACCATTCACATGTTTATCTTAAAAGAGAAAATAAAATTTAAAAGCAGAGAAAGAATCTGAAAGTTATTAAAATTCCAGCAAAAACTTTTTTAGTTTATATTCCAGTCTATTAGCTACTTATTGCCCAGAAATTGTTTCACTTTTTCCTTTCATTACAAAGATAACAAGCCAGTATTTCTTTCATGCTATCCTTAACATGCTCTTCCAAAGACCTGTTCTCATTCAAGTCTTCAATACAGAACAGAAATGAAACATCTGCTGGAAAGATCCTGTCAGACATAATCAGAATTTACTTTTTCGTCCAAGTCTTACAATTCCACATGGCAGAGGTCAGTATTTACTCTGCCTCAAATTTACTGTGTACAAGCTGAAATATTTACAGAGACATGAAAGACAACATGCTTGGAGTGGAAGAGCCAAAGCTGCCAAGTACTGGATACATACACACACCATGTGTATGGGTGTATTTGTCCTAGAAGAATGCTGAAAACTGTACTGAAATCCAGATCTTCTTCTACAGAAACACATTTGCTTACATAATACAAATATTTGCATTTTCCTCTACAAGGCAAAGCAGTTTTGGACTGTTTAATCTCAGAAAATAGAAATTATAAGCATGCTGGTTGACTGTTAAACTCTATTGGCAACACACATTGCTCAAATGATGCATTTTGGCTGTCGCCCTGATTTTTTAAGATTTTCTAAGCCTTCTGATGTTTACATTCTTGTAACAAACTTTCTCACACACTTTCTGTAAATAACTTATTGCTTTGCATTCTTTTATAGAGGAGGAGAAATTTGATGGACTGTTGGTTTGTCCAGTGTCATTGGAGAGGTGGCACTTTCACCCTCCAATCCACTGTCACTTTTGGAAAACTATAAATGCTGGAGTCAGAAAATAAACTTCCTTTTTCTTCACCTTGAGAGCAGTAGTGTGTGCCCTCGTGTTGTTTCGTGTCCTATAGCAACATCTGACTATTCTGTAGGTCAAAAAATCTGAAATTTCTAGAGTTTTTCTACCTCTTCCCAAATTCTAATAACTCTCTAGAACCTTGCACAATTCAAAAATTGTTTATTCACCCTCAGTGAACAGAGGTGAAAATCTGGAGGTCTTTTGGGTATGGCATCCTCTTCAGTAACACTGTGCAAACCTGTATTAAAATACCTGTATAAATATACTCCTGAAAGTAGTAAAACACATTGCATGAAGAAGCCACTTGGCCTCAGGAATCACTGGACACCTCTCAGCTGCACCCAAAGGGCCTTGTTCCAGTGCAGAGGGCTCTTACCTTGACTGCTGACAGGTCCAGTAAGTCCAGATCACAAACAGTGCAGCCAGTTTCCCGGGTCCAAGCATTGGGAATATAGTTTCCCAAATAATTCAGGTGAATCTGATACATAAATGAAGAATTTAAATTAATGAAAGATGCATGCAAAGGATGATCTGTACATTTCAAACAATTCATGTTTACACATTTAATCACTTGTAGATAAAGGCAACTGACAAGAAACATACATAAAAAAATTCTCTCTCATTCTTTTTATTGAAAAAACAGATTACATATGTACCATGAAGTCTACAAAAATAAGTATCTCAAAAATTACATGCACTTGAGGTGAAAAATAAAAGTGTTACACATCACAATGTAAAAATTATTCGGTACACATTTCGAGAAGTGCAACCAGCGCAATTTACTAATCTGCAGATTAGAGAGATTAAGTACAAAGCAGGAGTATCTCATGAATAAAAAAAATTTAACTATTGGGAGTGAATTCTGGGAATTTTTTAATGCTAGTTTATATACAAACTAGAGAAAACTTTTTGCCCAATATACTTTTGCCCCTTTGATTCCATCCTGGGTTTAAAACAGAAGAATTTAACCACACTGACAAAGTGATGCATAGCAAAATTTTCATCTTTGTTTTTAAAACATCACTACAGGCAGAGGTGGAGTGTTGGTTTTTTTTTTAATGTAGCATAACTCTTGGATTAATATAAGAAGTTCCTGTGCTGTTTGCCCAACTGTAAAATACAGAACTTTTCCTTTTATTGGCAACATGTCAGTAAAGCCAGTGATGACAGAATTTGAGGATTTAATTGAGGCAGAAATTGAAGGAACTGGTGATACATTTCACCCCTACTGAGTAGTTATAAGGGAAACAGATAAAGGCATCATTATATTCACTGATTCCAAAATCAAAATACAAGTATAAAAATAAAGAAGAAGCAGTCCCTGGGATATTAATGGGTTCATTCTCCTGGAAAGGCATTTTTCTGAAAATACGGAGCTACAGTTAGGGACATTTATTCAGAAGGAATTAGAAAGCAGCCATGCCCAATCCTTCATCCAACAGACACTATTGTAAATGATCCATCTGTACACTTCTTTGCACAGAACAAAGAGATGCAGCTGCCACATTACCAAACACAGCCATTTCCCTGAGAAACTGTGCAGGGACTTCTGAACCACTGAATCCTTACACATGAGCAGAATCTGTCAAAATAGCTATTTCACAGGGCAGACAGGGCTCTACCACCTGCCCAAAGCTGACAAGCCATGGGCACAGTGACAGCAGTGATCAGTGACACTGAAGGCAATGGCAAAAGCCAGTACCTGTACCTAGACAGACACACTTACACAGAGACTTCCTTGTTTGCCTTAATGCAATGTATTTTTTATATATGTGTATACACACATCTGGGTCTAGGGTAGAAACAGATGTGTTACTGTTTTGTATCCCAGCCCATTACCCTTGGCTAGATTATCCTGCCCCTGTTATTCTGACTTAATAACCACATGGACATTCTTCACTGGCTTCAAGAACAGCTCTGTTTAAGTGAAAAAATTAACACAAGCTTACTTGCTTCTAACATCTCATGCTGTGATAAATTTGGGAGCAAAATGAGTTGTTTCAGCAGCAATATCTAGTTACAGTGAGCAGAATAACATGAATTCAAAGGGGGCTTTTATCTTCTCAATTCCTAATAACATTAAATGGAAATGTGCACTAGTGGTGTTCTATGACTGTTTCATACTCCTACCATTTTATTTTTTCCCTTTATGGATGTTTTGGCTTTACATGAAAATAAAACCAAGCTGTCACTCACTTTAGTTGGACCATTTCCGTGAATGGTGACTGGTAGGGTGTCATAGACTGAATTCCTTGCTCTTACTTTTCCTTCTTCAAATTTCAAAAGGACTTCATCTGAAAATCAACAAAGCAGTACAGTAAGTTCATAAAAAAGCTAAAATTTCAGAGTTTTTAAGTCCTTGATGATACAATATACCTTGCTGTTGCTATCATTGTCAGTATTATTTATTTAGAAGCTTTTGTTAATTTTTCTAACTAGATCTTGAATTCTAAGCTCCTTATAATAAGAAAGGTAACATCAAACTTCATAGTTTCTCATCAGTAGCTTCAGTATTGATATTTATAGAGAAATCAGTTATTTCACATATGATCTGACTACAAAAAAGTTGTTCCAAAATTAAAGGTCAGATGTAAGAAAGGAAGTTTGCACAAATGCATATTTCCATTTAAATTCATGACAGTTAAATAAAGAGAATTCTACATTATTCAACTTCATTACAGTTGTTTGCTTGAGAACATCTAAAATGCAATTTTAATTACTAATCTTACTCCTGTAATTAAATTTTGAAAAGGCAAATAGAAAAATTATCCTTAACTCCATATCCTTCATTTATTTAAAACTATTTTTCCCATTTTAAATCAAATATTTTACAATGAGAGCATTCAATTCATAATCAACCCAGAAGACCTGTAACTAATCTGGTGATCAGCTTTACCCATCCAAACACTCCTTTAAAATAAGTGCATGTTTAGAGAACTACACTCATGGTTAAGCAGAAAAAGAAGTGTTAATAACAGTTAATGAAACACACAATGTGCCAATCATACACTTACCAACAGCTCCATTTAGAGTCTGGAAAATTGCACATTTGTGGTCCAAAGTGATGTTAATGCTCTCCTGAAATCAAAGCACCAAAGCTGTTGAGGCGTTCTAAAAGCCAATGTTTTTACAGCCACACTGCAATTATACCACAGTGGCAGCAAGGAATCAGGGAAAATGTGTTCTTCAGATTGCTATATTTGTCTGTATTCCCAAGTTGTGCAGTTCTACAGCAATTATTTTGTATATGCAGAAACTTTAAACTTGAAGGATAAAGGTCATAACTCTCCACAGGAACTGCAATTTTGCAGTATATGCCAAAGAAAATTTGTGTCATAAAAAAAAATTAACTAGTCTTGGCCAAGAAACAAAACATGCTGTGTTTCAGAGTCACAAAAATATAAAAGTCAAATGTAAGTATCATGTCAGGATAGAAAACACTGGTGATTTTAAAACATGTTCCTAATGTTGTATTACTAATCCTAGCTTACTTAAATACCATGTTTTACCATTTTTAAAATGCTGATTCAAGTATGTAACATTTCAAACATGCTTAAAAACAGATGATGTCCTTTTTTTTGGTCTTCCAAGATCTTCTTACACATTCCACAGCATTAGGCACATTATTACTACAGAGAGAATCAGTGGTGATGTACAGCAAGCACCATGGAAGTGTTTTGAATTACGGTGCAGCAGTGCTCTGCACAGATACACAGCTCTGGTCTAGAAGACAATCCATTTAGACAACCAATTATGCTACTTCTGACTTGGATGCAGAATCAGCTTTAATATCTCTACACCCTGTCTCTTCAATTGCATACCTGGCATCTGACTGAACTTGCATGTAAGCAACTCAATCATTAGAGGCTGGAGGGAATTTCCCATGAGGAGCAGCTGAGGTTTGTCTCGTTTAGAGGAGCAGGCTGAGGGGCTCCTCTGTGCTCCTTGCAGCTTCCTGAGGAGGGCAAGGGGACAGGGAGGTGCTGAGCTGGTGGGGATGGCTCAAAGCTGCACCAGGAAAGGTTCAGACTGGACATTAGGAAGCATTTCTTTATTAACAGGGTGGTCAAACCCTGGGTCCATTCCTCGAGAGGTTGTCAAAACCTCCAGCCTCTCTAGTGCTTAAAAAGCATTTTGGCAATGAGCTTAGCAACACACTTTAGCTTTTGGTCAGGCCCATATTGGTCAGCCAGTCAGACTAGATGATCACTGCAGGTCTCTTCCAACAGAAATATTCTTTTTCTGAATCTTTAGCCAAACAGGCCTGATTTTCCATTAAGTTATGCCAGAAAAAACATGTATACATTTCAAAAACTTTGCATCTGCCTTAAGCATACAAATTCCCAAAATCCTTTTCCAAATTCTTCTATATCAGCTTCTAAAGTCTTTTTGCATCAATATACTGTCAGCTTCCCTTATCCCTCTTTTTGCAGCATCAGGGACACACCTCTAACACCTATCATGCTTCAACACTGCAACTCAGCAGAGAACTTTAAGTGAGGACACAGAGAGATCTTCACCCAAAATTTACAATGCAGCTTTATTGAACTTATTTGTACAGAAAGCTGAAGGCAGGATCTGAAATGGCAGCAAGCCAAAGTATAAAACACTGGATCAGCAAGTAGTTCAGTGACACCCTGGCAAAATGCCACATTCTCTGGCCATCAAACTGCCAAGTACACGGGACCCTCATTGAGATAAATGTGTCTGATCATATACCTCAGAGCTGCTATTTCTAACAATGAAGCACAACCTGCCTGGGGCTGAAGGCAGCCTGAAATAATATATCAAGTCATGACCCTTTGGGAGCCTGTTCATCATTCCAGCAGTAGGAACCTCAGGAGAACAAACAACTGTCAACATGGCACTGCAGTATAGACAGCATTCCCTCTCTTTTCATCTCTTGATGTTTTATGAGGAGCAGCATGTTATTTCAAGCAGAAAGAAAAGAGAAAGCGAGTTACTACCTACCCTTGCCAATGGGTCAACATAGATTTTGGTGTAAAACAGCTGGTCATCATCATTATCCTGCAGATTCCATTGCTGCACAATACGATTTATGGATGGAGCATAACCAATAAATCCTGCAACATCACACACACAGGTTATTTCCATAAAAAACACCACCCTGCAATGCTGTCCAGCAACCAGGGACTTCATTCTGAGTGCTGCCAGTAAAGAAAAAGTATGAAATTTACGAAACTTGGCTCAATATCCAATCTTCCTCCTGAGGTATGTAACAGGTCTGTTTCAAAAAGTTCCAATTAATACTTATTGGCTAGTTCCAGTTAATAATGACTGGCTATTTTTATACTAATGGTATTTTCACGAAAAAAATAAATCAGATCTGCCCAGGATAGTTCTGAGAAGGCCAAAGCATGATATCAGACTATCACTTTCCCAAGAAGCCCATTTGTGGAAAAAGCTTCCTTGTCATCAATCAGTTCTTACTGGCAGAGATGCCTGAATCTAATACTGCCAGAAATATAATGAGAATTCAACTCAAAACAAACATACACCAAAATAAAAAAATGATAGGACAGATAGGTGAGGGAAAGAACCAGACCTGCACACTGAAGAAGGGTGCCCCAGAAATGAAACACTCAATAGTTTCTGCACAGCACAGTGTTTGAATCAGTGCATGTATTAATCAAGTGCTAAATTATTAGCAAAGCTGGCATTCAAAGGAGGATTTCAGAATTCATCCGTCATTGAGATTACAGGAGCAGCTCCCACTCCTTGTAGGAGCTGTGTAAGCCACGCAGCCAGGCCAGGCAGAGCTGCCAGCACATCCACCCTTCGTGCAGAGAGCTCCAGAGTTTGGCAATTCTGTGACCAGGCTATAAATAGCACATGCTGCTCTGCTGGGCTTGTGCTCTGCATTGTTCCTGCAGCAATGGGGTCATCCCTGCACAGCATTGCACTGCCATGCACAGCTACTGGCTAGACCCTGGCCGTATTTATCGGCTTTTTACAAGTTATTGTCAAACACAGACTGTGCAAATGTGAATGAAAACTATGCCTGAGCAGTGAAGAGGAGCTATTCAGGTGGGGAGGGGAGGAAGATGACAGCATATCCAGTGATCAGATTTGTACTTGGGTAATTCAGGAACAGCTCCACATGCAACAAGCACACAGAACAGATAACAGAGATGGGTCATGCTCAAGTTCAAGTGTTTGAGGATCCCACTTGCCTCCTGAGTTCAGGAATCGTTTCCCACTCCGGACAACAGGATATTTGTCTGCCAGCCTTTTATCTGGCCAAATCAGTCCATCTGCTGCAAACACCACCTTGTGATTCGTTTCCTGAAATTTCTTTAGGAGCTCTTCAGGGCCCCCAGCAAAGATAACGTCAAAGCTTAAAAGGAAAGAAAATACATCTGTTAGGTTGGTTTGATTTTAATATTTCTGTGTTCAAAACTGGACTTTTCAAATTTAAAAATCAAACAGCCCTTTCATTCTGAAAAATGACTCAATTATATCATATTTAACCACTATGTAAAAATTGTATGCCCTTCTAGGAGCGATACTTCAATCAGTACTACTTCTCCAAAGTAGTTTCTCCTCCTGCTTTTTAGTCTTACACATTTTGGGCATTCGTTTTTCTTCAAATTTTGTTTACCTGAAATTGATTTTCCTATTTTGCTTATGTTTTTAAGAACAATAATTAAAAATATCAAACTTTAACAGATTAAAAAGCAGGACTGAAAGATGACTTAGATGACTTTTACTGAGAAAATCTAGATGATCTTGCTCCTAAACACAACAGCAATGGCTCTTAGATCTCAATTAAGTCTAGTTCCCCATATGCATCCTAACAAGGCATAGATTTCTCCTTCAACCTCTTTAATGTGGTAAAGACTTAAAAGGCTCAAAGTATACAATACTTATTTATGAAAAACCTTACCTGCCTCTGAGTCACAATTCCTATTGAGGATAAAGGCCTAAAGGTGTGGGGCTCATCTTTGGCTGTTAGACACAGCCAAAGGCCAACAATGTGCCAAACCAGAATGAATCCTGCCTGGGTTTGGCCAAGGTCCTGTAAGAATGGAGCATCCCAAGCCTGGTGGTTTCTTGTGGCTGAGCCAAATCTAAATCAATGCCTGGTGGGCACAGGGGGTTGGGAACACCACCAAGCAAACAAACCAATGCCCCCACCATGGGCAGGGATGCCACACACTAGACCAGCCTGCTCAAAGCCCCATCCAATCTGGCCTGGACTCGGAAATTGCAGGGATTGGGCATCCACAGCTGCTCTGTGCCAATGCCTCCTACTTCAAGGCTCACTTTACACAGCATGAAGAATGTCACAGTGAAATTGGAATCACATCATAGATTAGTCTCTGGCTGAAGCAGCAAAATATTTCAATGGCAGCATCTCAGCCTTGCAGCTTCTTCATCTGAACACAGGGATATTTTTGCCCTACACATATACCTTAAAAATTGAAAATCACTAGCCCTGATAACAGGAAAAGTAACAGTACAGCTACCCAAAACCAAGCATTCCCACCTCCAGTACACAGAATATTTTGCATTGCAATGGATTACCCAGCAACAGCACCAACAGATCAACCATTACCAACTTGTGGTACTCCTTTATTACAGTTCTGAAATTATTCAAGATGTCATTTCTTCAAAGAGGATTTCATCAAATTGGCCTAAGAGAACTGAACAACAGCTGTCTTGCAAATGTAAGAAAATATTTTCACCACAAAGCAAAGTATGAACCCTGGAGAGGAACTGTGTTATGTAGTCTATATAAGTAAGTGGTTTTCTGAAAACTCTTATGTTTTTCTGCAACTTTGGCAGAAAAAGACATGAAAGAAATTGTACATTTTGGACCTTCCCCAGTTTCACAAAATATGCCTGTTTCTGCCCAAATTTACAGGAATACATTTCACTCCCTTTTCCATTCAATTTCTGCAGCCCGTCTCAATGCCAGACCAAGTCTGTAGAACACACAAGAAACAGGAGACACATTGCAGACAGACAAAAAGAGAACTGTCTGAGCCTTTAACTTAACAGCTCATGGCAGGCTGTGCTTCTCCTCTGTGAGCAGGGTAGTGCTGCTGCTGCTAGGGCTTACAGCTGCAGGAAGGAGCCCAACACCCTGGAACATTGCTTCCAAGGATGTCATCCTGTGAAAGAAAGCCAAATTGAACAACAGGCTGGGCCAGCCACAGGCTCTGCTTGTGAAAGGGGATATGCTACTTAATAGAGCCGAGTTTATAATCCTGAACCCAGAGCTGAGCTGCTAACCTGCAATGGATATTGTGGAGTTCTATTAATCCAGCTGGAACCCACACTTGCCATTAATGGTCAAGGCTCTCTTGTCAAGAGGTGACTTAATGCCACCACACCTCTTCCTGAGCAGGACCTCCACCTTGCTGACAGTACCCTCATCAGCTGCTTTATGAGGCTCCCACTTTTCTTGCCATGGAAAGGAAAACTCCTTTACACCTGTAAATGTATCATTTGCGTTGTTTACCCTCTGTCAGGTAACATTTGGCCTATTCAGACCCCATCTCCTGCTGTAAGGGGGGATTCACTTCAAGTCTACACCACTAAAGCCATCACAAAACAGGCCCCAAGACTATCCTTGACAGTTTTTACTGTTATTAGGGATGACATAATGACTTACTTTAAACAAGACTTCAAAATTTGACAGGGAAAAACAGTGCAGACGTATCCAGGAAAAAGCAGGCTTCCCTGGCAAGCAGGAACAGCTCAGAGACTCTTTTATTTATTCTTTATAAATCCTCCAAATTAAGTAGAAAGCAAGAAGGGAAAAAAAAAAAAAAAAAGAAGAAATAAAAAAAACCCCAGAAAGTTTCCACAACCTAATCCCATTTCCTGAAGCTCCCAGATGCTTGGGACTGGAATCCATTCCTCCCTCCCTCCCTTTTGCAGCAGCAAAGCATCCTGGCTATGCACCCTGCACTCCCACCAACACAGGGAAACTGCAGCAGACACTCAGGTGCTCTAGAACTGACCATGCAAGTTCTGCATCCTCAACTTCAACAATCAGAACTTGCTACTAATGGAGCTGCAGGGTGAGAGCTCAAAACACAAGATAGTGCCTACTAGTGACTAGCAATGTCACAAAACAGACACAAAACTATTTTGTCACTCAGACTGTGTCTCCCACCAGGACCACACCTTAACCATTTTGAGATACACGGAAAATATAATTATCCCTTAGGTTCTGATGAATGTGAAAAAAAAAATACAACAAAACAAAGAACAAACTGAGAGGCTTCAAAATTCTTCCATGATACAAAGAGATGTCTGTGAGAGTTCTGGATGAGCAGTCACAGCACCAACCAATTTATCCAGTCTACACTGGCCATTAGCCAGTTCAATCTGAAATGGTCCAAAACAAACCAGAAGCTGGCTCAAGCAAAAACAAGCCTAATTTAACTAGTGTTCCATCTGCAGGCATTTTGCTATCTACACATAGGCACAAGCTGTCCACAGAAGAAGTTCAGACTATTTCCAGAATTCTGAGCCATATAAAAAACTGCTGAAAAAAAAAACCCCAAACTGAGAAACTAAGTTTGTTAAGTAAACAGCTCCCTAGAAATTACTTTCCTAGTTACAGTAAGCAAACCAGATATTTCCTTCCCCCCCCCAAGATTAATATTCCAAATGCTTCACAATGAATATAATAAAAAACACTTGAAGAAGAAAGGAAGTTCGTGACATTTGTATTTTCCAAACTTACTGCCACATTGATCAGCGTTTAAATTGCAAACCAGGATTTCTGGAAATGTAAAAGCTCATTAGAATTAAAACATAATACCGGCATCAGCAAACTGGTTTTTTCTCTCCTGTCTGGAATCAGTTCCACCAGCTTTAAACAAATATGTACTTCAGATTTTGGACTTCAGGGACTTGGGGGGCCTTAAATCCTGTGATTTTTCACAGGAAGAAAGATTATGGCTTTTGCGCTTTGACACACATGGTCCTCTGTACTCTCTCATCCATGCCAGCAGACAGCCTGCCCCTCCAGAGAGCAAATTATGGTGGAGAAAGATTTGAGCTAGACCTCTGTACCAATGTGATAATAAATTTACATATTTTACCACACAGGAAGAAAATTGTTATGAATTAGGATAATAAATTCAGAAACAAAGAAATTTGATGTAAGTAGAAAACATTTGGGAAATGCTTGTTTTATCTGAGCTTTAGCGCAAAAAAATCTTTGAAATTAACCTTTAAAAGTTTCAGTTCTTGTATGATTAGTAGGACAACACTATGAACACACAAACAATGTATTTACTTTTAGAAAGATACGTTTTTCATTTAGGAAATGCAAAATTGAACAAGTCAATAAAAAAAGAAATTCAAAAACTGGATGTGTATCTTCAAATTAGGTAACTTCCACAGACCTAAGCATGCTTAAAAAAATATTCAGCATAATAATGCTTATAATGCTTATTTATAAATTAGTGACAATTATTTAGATTTTTTGCTTTCTAGGTATTTCTGTTACTCATCACAAGAGGTAAACTAGGAACAGAAAATTAAGTAATGTATTTGAATTTACCACCAATTTAATGGCTACTCCAACTTTCCCAAAGCGTTAACTTGTGCAAAACAAATTAGCTTTCCATAAATTGCCAGTGTCCAGCCACTTTGCCTTGTGGTGATGTCTGCTGTGCAAAACCTGCCAAGCCTTGAAAAATTGCCCCTAAGTTTCTTCAACTGTCAAGTCTTAAATACATAAAGCAGGTTAAAAGCTGAAAGAGAACTCTGGGGCAGACATTCCAGCATGGTACAGCAGCAGGGGTGAACTCATCCATGACTGTCTCCAAGCTCACTCTCAGCTCCCCTCTCCAAGGCTGCCTGTCACCACTGGAGCTCCCTGTCCCCGATTCCAGACATGGTCCCACACCTTCCTTCAGTGATTATTTCAGAGCTGTGACCCTGCTCTGGTTAACATCAGTGTGGAAGGGCCTGGTGTCTGCTGCAAGCTGGATTCTGAGCTACTCTGCCAATGCTGCTGCCACAGGAGGAAAATAAGAGGAAGAGAAAAAGCAGAGGGAAGCAACAGAGAATGTGTGTTTTGAGCACATTTGAGCTCTATGCTTTCAGTGACAGGAGAAGCCTATCTGGCCTGCAGGGAGAATGTTCAAGCATAGCTGTGCTGTGAGCTATAATCTGGCACCTGCAGCAGCTCTGTCTCTCCATGTTCCATCACACAGAGAGCACAGGCACCAAGCTACATCTGACACCAAGACTTGTTTCAGCTCTCTAACACACAGACAGTGTCCTGTTAAATGCTTTCCTCTGGGAGCCATTTTCCAGTTTCCTCCATATCACTGTTACTTCATGGAACAAGATAATGCCTCTGGTCCCTACTGGACTCTTTATTTCTGGAGCTGCTTTTGCTCCCCTCCCATCCACACTCCCAGCCTGCAGCCACATCCTGCTCTCACTGCAGCTCAGCAGGGAGAGGACAAATGCTTGCCTAAAAGCCTGTTAGCTCCCAGCAACATTTTTTTACCCCCTGGAGGCAGCAGAACTCTTACATCTGTAAATCCGCTAAAAAGTAACAATTGCTCCAAAAGCAATCCACTATTTTTATGAATGAAGAAAGATGCCAACTCTCTCAAATGAAACAGTGAAGAACAAAAGCGTCATGAAACTTTCAGCATGTCACAGGAGCTACTTTTGCATGTCTACCCAGAGTAAAACACAAGGACAAGAAGCCGGGTCTGCTCACCATTCCACAAACAGTACAACCAAGTCCTCTTGATCAGCATAGCTTCCAATGCCCTCCTTCAGCAGCCGAACCTTCTGCCCTCCGCCAATGGAGTTGGGCAGCTCACCACCTTTCCATTCTTCACCTTTTCCAAGAACCTGCAATAAGAGGGGAAAAAAACCCACTTTTTGCTAGTACTCAAACCCATGAGGCTTTTTTAAAGCAGATCCTTATTGAAAACAGATGCTAAAGCAGAAGCAACACATTAAAGCATAGCAAGCCAGCACTTCCAGCATCGTAGGTTTTCCATGTCTGAAGCAACATTCAGCACCATGACATCACTGCAAAAACATGAGAGAGACATTTCTTCACCAAATAAGAATCAAGCAACTGCCTGCTACTGCCATTTACTCAAATGTGTCTCCTTCAGGAAAAAAAAATAGAAAAAAAAAGCTAAGGATTGTTTCAAAATCTGTATTAGAAAAACATTCCGAATAAGACCTTTAAAATTCCATAACATCCCTTTAGGAACAGGAGGCACAAAAGACCTAGGTGGATCAAGGTATAACTAATTCAAATTGCAAGTTTTTTGTACAAAAAGGAAAGGACAGGTTTTCCAGTACACAGCTCACTGCTAAAACTGAGTTAAACATAAAACTCCTCCCCAGCCAAGCAGTACAGCAGATTACATGTCAAAAAAGAGGAAAAAAAAAAAGCCCTTTATGTATTTTGAACATAAAGTTTTTGGAACATATAAAGCCTGGAAGAAATACACTGCTGATGTTTTGGAAAAATCTGCAGAGCTAAAAGATGTATCCAGAGCTCAGGCGCTCTACTACAGCTTTATCATATTAGGGAAGGTTCTCTCAGTCCTCCAAATTCAGTGGTAGAAGTCAAAGACCCAAATAATTTCCTATTTATAGTGTAGGCACTGTGGTAAGAAAGAAGAAAAATTTCATAACAGCATCTGAATTCCTGGATTTTCTCTTGGCAGAACCAATTTTGGGGAAAGTTTAGAAGGTTAGTGCCCTCCCTTTTTCCCAAGGTCATGCAGAGGCCAACCTAAGTACGTGACATACAGAGGCATGGAGCAAGGCAGAAAAGGCTGGAAAGAATGATAGAGACACATTGTCCTCTCAGAAATTACAGGCTCCTGGGAAATACAGAGAAATTTTCAGATGTGAGCCTCCCTCCTTCCTTGCAGCAGTGCTCCAGCCTTGCTTAAGGAAAGAGATCCAAAGCCCTTGAGCGCAGTACAGCTCCCAGAAGTGTTCATACAAACAAAATCTGCCACACTGAAAAACAAGGCTCTGTGATAAAATGTGCCAGAACCTGTGAGTGAGGAGGATGCTGACCATGAGAGCTGCAAACCCCTGAAGCAGCTCCTAAGGCAGAGGGAGCCTCTCCCTCCCACGGTGGTTCAGGGGCATCAGCAGGTGAGCAACAGGGAGTTGCAAGTGCACAGCAAGTGCCCTTCCTGCCCCCCAGCTCTGCTGCTGTTTCCTCTGTCCCAGCACACAATGAAGGTAAGGCAAGGTCAGCTACCATCTACTGGTTCTGTTTCACAGCATGGACAGCACAAACATATGGTACAGAACACACACAATACCTTTACTGTGTAGTTGAAATGCTTTGCAGTTCGCATGAAGCGGTGAAAGCCATCGGTTTCTTTAGTTGCTACAGTAAAGACCAGAAGTTTATCTGAGGAAGGAAAGGAAAGAACATGCATTAATATGCTTTCAGGGCACAGTCTGTGACAAAATGCAACGAACAGCAGCACTAGCTCAGGGAGCTCTATGACTTTCTGCATCTCATTCAAAGACAGAAGGCAATTATGCTGCCACAGTACAGGTGTGAGACCTTACCAAACAAAAACTGCTATGGGCAAGGTGCTGTATTTAAAATTATCCTCTGGAAGAGAAAGCAAGTCTGTCTACTCTGTAAACAACTAGTTCAAGACACAAAAACAAAGATAGTGTGACTACTGGACAGGAAGAAATCTTCAAAACAAAAATAACTTGCTACTTTTCAGTCTGAGCTAATCCTGTTACTGCTTACCACACAGCTGAGTGGTAGTAAGAGAACTTTACCCAACCCCAGGAGCTCCCCTGAAAGCCAGCAGGACATACTCTTCATGAAAACAAGTCAAAAAACCCAACCAATGAAACCAAACCCCCAACAAACAGCATTTAGTGCTTTTAAGTCCTTGGGCAGAGACCGAAGAGCAAGGAGTTTGTTTGATTGGCTTTTTTATTCAGAGCATAGGTACATTACAGCACTGCTAATTTTGCCCTCTTATTGCACACAGGAAAGTGACCATGCAACCAATTTCCTCCTCACATTCCAGAGCTTTTAGCACAGTTCAGATGGGGTCGTGAATTTCCTCTAAATAGCTTCCCAATTAAACTCCTGAACAACATTTAGAAACCTATGCAATATGCTGCATAATGAAAGTAAATAATTTGAAGCTATGAGAAGGTTTTATCCCTACCTAAAATCAAGTATTTAATCAGACCAGCCTGGATGTCAGAGTACATTGCAGCTTCCCCAATTCAGGCCAAGTTCAAGCAATAGCTGTGCTCTAACCAGAGCCCATGAGATCAATCCTTACAATAAAAAAAAACTAATCACCTATGATGAGTATTCCAGACAGAGTGCCTGTTACTGCATTACTTGCCAAAAAAACATCTTCTGGATTTACCTTCCTTAATCCAGTAACATGTGCAAGAAGGGTCTGCTATGGAAAACATTCCTATTAACTCTTCAGCCTCATCCACCACCACAGGCTCAGCAGCCTTCAGACAGCCTGGACATCATCCTGAGTGTATTCAAACCACTCACCACTCCCCATTTTGTTTTATGTGACAACAGCAAAAGTTAACACAAACGATGATGACCCAGTTCCCACGTTATAGAAGAAATGCACTTTGCAACTCGCTCATGCAATGCTCTGCAGCCAATACTTCAAGTGTATTGACTCAGACAGAAATACCTGTCAGAATACAGACAGTTTGTGGAGCAGCATAAAACCATCTGCTCTAATGAAATTCCAGTCTGTCTGAAGTACCCACAGCAGGCAAACCCACTCTGCAGAAAAGGTCTCAGGTGGCACTCATACTGTTTCCACTGAAATATGGCTCAGATTCAGACCAGGTCACCTCCAGAGCATCCTGCCAGGTGTGACAGTGCTCTGGCTGCTCCATCCTCACCAGTAGCTCCATGGTGTGCGTGGGGTACAGCAGGGATAAGACAAGCACCTGTGATACTGGTCTCAGTTTAAGGGTGTTCCTGACTCAGGTGGTGTTTCTGCAAATTGCAGAACACTTGATCTGCTTTGTGACTTTGCTCTTCCCCAGACACTCCTTGAACAAGTGTGACCTTTAAGCAGTGACAGCACCCTGTGCCCAGTACCTACACCACCAAAACCAGCCTGTGCCTTGAGCAGGGCTCCTCCAGCTTTATCTGACACTGCCCAAGTTCCTCAGCTGCAGATGACATCTCTACCTGCCCTCCCCACTACACACAATTTTGTGTATTTCTCTCACATCCTGCTATTGCCTTTTTTTCTTAATTTTTTTCCTTGGGTGGGGATGTCTGGGAGGCATGTCTGTGAACAGGGGAGTACAATCCTTTTCCTCAAAGGCCCTAGAGACAATTTCAACTGCCAGCTCTACCAAACCAGACACTCCTGCAATACACTATGCAACAAGGAAGAAACTGGATATATTGTAAATTCTTCCTACAACTCAATTTGAACATCCAAAAATTTTGGAAAGCCAGATTTGGAAGATAATTTGCTTCACCCTTTTCCCCTTCTTAAGTGCTAGCAGACTTTTGTACCAAAGAATCAGAAGAAAACCCCCCAAATACATCTCAAAAGGACAGGAGGACCTCACAGTGCAATGAGTTCACATGGACTCACAAAGAGACAGAAACAGAGCAATAATGGCTCAATACCTTCCAAACAGTTTATTACAATTTATTGCAATTTCAAGTAATTCTACTAAAATCACCACAAAATGAATAAAGACCATTGTATCTTAGACTGTGACTAAAACAGAACTGAAGGCAGAGGAGGATTTTCCTCTATGAAGGAAATTAAGGCTACTTTTTGTTCAAGCACTACATTTTCAAATTACAGGGAACTGGAAAAATCTGATCATACCAGAATTGCATCATCAAGCCAACTGGATCCATTATTAAAAGTTTCCTAGGTGACCAGCTCACTGACTAAACCATGGAACTTGGTTTGAAGAAGGCATATTTCACACCTACACATTACTAAGAAATGCTAACAGCAAAGATCTCAAAAATCTGTACTTGACAACATGATGGAAATGACAGAATGTGGGCTGCAGATTGCTTCCACGGTTACTAAGTCAAAGAAAGTTTAAACTAACATACAAGTACGGTTTGGCAAGCAAAAAATAATCTACTGTTCTTTATGGGATATTGTTACTCTCTCTTAATGGAATACACATTATTCATGTATTTCAAGATTCACTATGGAGTCTGGTATGTTACTTGACTTTTGTGGAACAGGACGAAAGAGAATAATGTGCCAAATCATAAGGGATTTCAGCCTGAACTATACAAAATGAAGAAAGCTGAGCAGGCAAACAGTTTATGCTGATATGAAAAGTTAAAAGAGCCTATACTGCACCACCAGACAATGAAGCAATCTAAATGGGCTGCCAGATTGGGGGTTGCAAACGGTCACAGAACAAAAGAAAGCTATTTTAAAGGTACTATTTACATGGGAACTGTTTTCCTTATAGCATGCTTACCCATGTTTTTTTTTTTTTTAATTAGACTTGAAGAAGTTGACGAGGCTTTATTTTATGTCTTTGTTGCACCACTGACTTTTAAGTGCAGGTGGTACTTAAATAATTTTTAAGTGCAGCAAAACTGTAATTATAGCATTTGAAGTCCCCTTAGAATTAGAGTTTTCTTTCTAGATTACTTAGTCTTTACTGGGGCCTCTTTTGTTTTGGTTTGTTTGGGTTTTGTGGTGGTTTGTTCTTTTTTTAAGCTGTGTCTGACCAAAGAGCAGAGAAACATGCTTTTATTCTATATATAGTATAAATAGAGAGACAATGGAAACTGCAGTAAATGATAGTTACCTTGGCACATTATAGAGGGTATTAATAACCAAATGAGAAAACCAGAACCATCCTCCTCCAGCTAATAAAAATATTAACCTAGTTCCTGTAGGTTGCTGTGACTATATTTAGATGTGATAACTTGCACAGTTTCACTGGCAAATTTCCACTAAACATAGCATGGGAGATGTTTGTTTCTTCCAGTGGAAGTGAGTGAAGAGAATGCTTCTGACCATTAAGTACTTCTGCTAATTTTTTTTCAACTTTTTCAACTTCATTCACTTCCAAAAAAATCTATTCCTTGCTTACTACCTTTAGGTACAACAATTTCTTGGAACACTTATCCCAGTTGTGTGTAGCACATGGATACAGTGACTTCCATGATCTCACAGGAGGGTCAATGTGAAGCACAACATTCCCAAGGCAGCAAGTCTATCCAAGTGTCATCTCCATTTCAGGATGTGCTCAGCTATTTCAGCTGCTGCCACCCACAGTGTCCCTGGGCACAGAGCAGGCTTGGCCCCAGGATGCCCTGTGGGTGCAGAGGCTCAGGGCTGCCCCAGAGCAGGGAGAGGCTGAGTGAGTCCCCAGCAGCATCCCTGTCTCCAGCTGGGCAGTGAAGACCCAGGCACAGCAATGGAAGGATGTCTGCAATTACTCAGACCCAAGCTGCCACTGCAGCCTGATACTCCCCAGTGAGAGAACAGCAAAATCCCCACAAGGAATTCCAGCTGCAACTAGATACCATTCCTGCTTCACCATCCCCTCCACAAAGCCCTGCCTTCCATCAAGGCATCCACCCCAAGGAGCTCTGCTGTGTGACCTTACATACAGGCTGCAGTTCAGCCCTGACCATCCACCCCACACAAGGACAAATACAATCCTGGGAGTGTCTTCCAACAGAAACAGCATCCTCAAAGTTGAGCACAAACTTAAAGAGCACAAAACCCAGTTTTTCCACATGCTTTCAAGACAAGCTGAAGCTGTGCAGATAACTAGACAATCACCAGTGGTGCCAACAGCAACTTCTCCATTTATATGGACTCAGCCTGTATGCTCACGATCCCAAGAGCCATTAGGACAGCTTCCATGAGACCAGGAACACAGCAGGTGGTGCCCTGGTTCCCACTGGCAGGGTGCTGAGATGCCACAGAGGGTGCGGGCTGGCGGCTCCCCTGCACACAGCCTGCCAGAGGCACCCTGGCACTCACCCAGGGCATTGCTGAGCTTGGCATTTATTTCCACATGTCAGTTTGTGTAGAAAGGAAATGTAAACCCTATGCTGAAGTTCAACAGGAAGGCATGAAAAAAAAATCTCCCAAGAGCTCCATGCCAGGTATGTGTTCGGTTACTAGGACGAAATTGTGTCAGACAGATTTCCGATACTTACACCCACAAAACAGCTGCTCTGTTTTGAAAACAAGCCTGAGAGGGCACGAGTTTAGCCAAGAAAAGTATATCCAGTGACTAACAGAATTCATTTTTACATGCAAATTAGAAACCCTCCAGCACACCAGTTGTGAAAGACAACAACACTGCACACGGAGCACATGCAGCGCGTTAGGAAATCCAGTGAAAGTTTATCAAAACAACTCACTC